ATAGATAGATAGATAGATAGATAGATAGATAGATAGATAGATATAGAGAGAGAAACAGAGAGAGAGAGAGAAAGAGAGAGAGAGAGAGAGAGAGAGAGAGAGAGAGAGAGAGAGTGCCTCAAACGGGTCAAGTCAAACAACGCGCGGTTTGATAAACAAAAGGAAAGAACACCAGGTCTTTGTTATAAAAATGTCTGCATGATTATTTTCCTTCATTTAAAAAAATGAATCGTTTGACGACGTGATGGAATCAGGCGCTCGTCAATTTTTGGATATGTGAAGTTATTGGTATCATCTGAAACCTTTTTCATTTGCCTTGCTTTTTTAAAAGGAAAAAAAAACACTTAGTTATCTTCAATAGAAGCAGTTGAATGAGGTGGGGGTAGCATGGCTTCAGTGGTAAAAAGCGAGAAAATAACCGCCTAAGTATGGTACCTTCTATAGTATGACAGTCCTTGGAAACTGAATATTTATATATTTTGTGCCACTAAACAACGTTTTTCAGTGAAATTCACATGGAAATGTGTTTATATTAAGCCAAAAACAAAATTCGGTAAAAACTGACGAACTAGGGTTTCATTATTCTGACGAGCGCCTGATTTCACCACGATTCCTCACAAATGTTTCCCCCGTCCAAAGATCATGTCTTCGAAAACTGAGAATGTCAAGGACGTACTTTGTACGGGATTCCTAGAACCACACGCGGAGTTTGGCGGGAGGATTGGGACACTTATTCACGTATTTGTGCTTCAGTTGTGCATATTGCGCTGTTTCTGTCTATTGATTTTTCTGCGAAAAAAACACTAAAATACTGACAAGATCTTTCGCTGTCAATGGCCAGGTACAAGCCGGGTACTCATTCCCACCTGGACGAAGTGAGGAAAAGCTTGTAAAGTGCCTTTCCCAAGGACACAACGTCGGGCCCGTGGCTCGAACCCCCGAACCCGCAACCCCACGATTACACGTCCGGTGGCCTAACCACCAGGCCACCGACGCCACTATCGGAATTGTACGTAGTTTAGGCGACAATCGACAGTATTAGATCATGTAGGAGGCGTGCAGCTGCTACCCTGATGACTACATGTGTTGTTGAAAGAAGAATCAAACTCTCTCTCTCTCTCTCTCTCTCTCTCTCTCTTTCTCTTTCTCTCTGTGTCTGTCTGTCTCTGTCTCTCTGTCTCTGTCGCT